ATATATATATATATTTCTAAAATCCAGAGTGGGGGAATGTTTTATTTTCTTGATTTTGAAAAATTTTGCCAAGAGTCAATTTTTAGCATCTTTATTTAGATTTAGTTTAATATCACACAGTTCACCCACTTAATTTCTATAATTCAGAGATATTTAGTTTACTTGCAGATCTATGCAGCCATTTTGACAGATTTAGAACATTTTCATCACTTTAAAAAGAAATCCCATATCTGTTAGCTCTTCTTCTACTTACCCCCCAGCTCTACCTTTCCTGCCCAGTTCTGAGCAACCACTAACTTACATTATATTTCCATAGGCAGATTCCTCTGTTTTGAACATTTTATATGAATGGAATCACATATGTCACTTTTTGTATTAGTCTTCTTTCACGTAGGATAATGTTTTAAAGGTCTATCAATGTTGCAGCATGTATTCATTCCTTCCTGTGGCCAAACATCATTGTATGAATACATCACATTTTTACCCATTCATCAGTTGAATGGATATTTGAGTTTATTCTACATTTTGGCTATTAAAAAGAATGTTGCTATGAACATTGGTGCAGAGGTATTTGTGTGGGAATTTTTAAAAATTAATTTATTTATTTTAATGAGGTATATATGACAGCAAATTGCATTTTGATTCATTGTACACAATTGCTGCAAAACTTTTCATTTCTCTGATGTTACACGATGTAGTGTCACACCATGTGTGCAGTCATACATATACCTAGGGTAATGTGGGAATGTTTTTATTTCTCTTAGGTATGTATTTTGCCTAGTAACAGAGTTGTTGGAAACTGTTCAATCACTTGAAGAACTGCTAGGTTGATTTAAAATATACCTCCACCCACTTATAATCCCACGAGGAGTTACAATTCCTTCATTCCCTTGCCCTGATTGCCACTGTCTGATTTTAGTATAGCTACGCCAGTAGGAATGAAGTGGATACCATCTGTGGCTTTAATTTTCATTTCCTAAAAACTAAAGATGTAGACCTCTTTTCATAGGCTTATGCATGTTTGTGTATATTCCTGGGAGAAAAGTCTATTCATAGCCTTTGCTCATTTTTAGATTGAATTTTTCTTTTTATGATAAATTATAATAATACTTTATCTTTTAATTCATTCTTTTTTTCCCATTGTGATGTGTAATATCATAAGTTATTCCTCCCATCTAACTGAATTTTGGTAGCCTTATTAAACATCTTGAAATCCCTAATTCCCCCTGAAGTTCTAGTAATTGCCACTTTACCTTTAGTTTGAGAGAAAACATGTAATACTTGTCTTCCTATATCTTAATAATAATTTAACTTTATATAGTATCTTCTAGTCCCATCCATTTTGTTGCAAATGGCAGAATTTTATTTTTCACAATGGCTGAAGAGTTTACTTTTTTGAGTGGGTTTTATTTTTCTTTTAGGTTTTAAATATTTGAGTTCTTTCTTTTTTGGTTATTAATCCCATCAGAGGAACCGCTGGCAAGGATTTTCTCCCATTCTGGATACTCTCTCTTCACATTATTGTTTTCTTTGCTGTGCAGAAGCTTTTTAATTTGATGGCATTCCACTTATTGATTCTTGGTTTTATTTCTTGAGTTTTATGGGTCTTGTTAAGGAAGTTGGTGCTTGTGCCAGCATGTTGGAGTGTTGAGCCTGTTCTCTTCCAGCAGTTGCAGGTTTCTGGTTTAACTCCCAGGCCTTTGCTCCACTTTGAAGTGACTTGTGCACGGTGAGAAATAGGGGTTATTTCTTCTACATTTGAATATCCTGTTGCACCAGCACCACTTGTTACAAAGGCTGTCTTGTCTCCAACATATGTTCTTGGCAACTTTGCCAAGGATGACATGACTATATCTATGTCACTGTGTTTTCTATTCTGTTCTGTTGGTCTTTATGTCTGTGTTTATGCCAACACCAGGCTGTGTTTGTTACTAGATCTCTGTACCATAATTAGAGATTAGGTATTGTGATGTGTTTAGAATTGCTCTTATTTCTCAATATTGCTTTAACTATTCTGGGTCTTTTATTCTTCCACATGAATTTTAGGACTGCTTTCTCTACCTCTGTAAAGAACACTATTGATATTTTGATGAGGATCACATTGAATCTGTATGTTGCTTTTGGTAATATAGCCATTTAAGCAATACTGATTCTGCCTATCCAAGAACAGGAGATGACTTTCCCTCTTTAAGGCCTTCTTTAATATATTTTTCTTCAGTATTGTATAATTTTTATTGTAGAGATCTTACTTCCTTGATTAGATTTATTCCTAAATATTATACATGTGTAATGTATAATATATATTTATTAAGTGATGACAATTATATATAATATTGCATACAAATATTATATAGATATGGGTACCAGGGATTGAACTCAGGGGCACTCAGTCACTAAGCCACATCCCCATCCTTATTTTATAATTTATTTAGAGACAGAGCCTCACAGAGTTGCTTAGTGCCTTGCTTTTGCTGAGGCTGGCTTTGAACTAATGATCCTCCTGTCTCAGCCTCCTCGCTCCCAGCTGCTGGAATTAGGTGTGAGCCACTGCGCTCACCTAAATATTTTATATTTTTGAGGCCATTGAAGATGAAATTGTTCTTCCATTTTCCTTTTCATCAGATTCATTATTGGAGCAAAACAAAGTGATTGAATTTTGTAAGTTGATCTTGTGTCCTGCCATTTTATTGCATTTCTGGTGGAGTGTTTTGAGTCTCCTAAGTACACGATCATGTCATCAACAAACAGAGATAGTTTGACTTCTTCTTTTTCTGTTAAATTTCCTTATCTTTTTTTAAAACATTTTTTTTTGTAATTGTAGATGGACAGAATGCCTTTATTTTATTTATTTATTTTTTATGTGGGGTGCTGAAGGTCGAGCCCAGTGCCTCATGTATGCTAGGCAAGTGCTCTGCTACTGAGTCCCAGCCTCAGCCTCATTTTTCTTCTCTTATTTGATTGCTCTGGCTAGAATTTTTTAAAAAATTTTAATTTGTTCTTTTTAGTTATACATGACAGTAGAATATATTTTGACATACCATATGCACATGGAGTATAACTTTCCATTTTTGTGGTTGTACATATTGTGGAGTTGTATTCATACATGTATACATACATGAACATAGGAAAATTATGTCAGATTCATTGTATTTATTTCTCATTCCCATCCTCCCTCTCTCCACCCCATACAATCTGCTGAACCTCCACTCCTTCTCACCACCTATTGAGAGAGTCAGCATCTACACGTCAGAACATTCAGCCTTTGGTTTTTTTGGGATTGGCTTATTTCACTTAGCATGATATTCTCCAGCTCCATTCATTTACTTGCAAATGCCATGATTTTTTTCTCTTTTAATGCTGAGTAATATTCCATCGTGTATGTACCACATTTTCTTTATACTTTCATCTGTTGAAGGGCACCTAAGTTTGTTCCATAGCTTAGCTATTATGAATTAGGCTACTATAAACATTGATGTGGCCATGTCACAATAGTCTGCTGATTTTAAGTCCTTCAGGTACCTAGAAGTGGGATAACTGGGTCAAATGGTGTTTCCAGTCCATGTTTTCTGAGTAATCTCCATGCTGCTTTCCATAGTTGTTATGCCAATGTGCAGTTCCAGCAGCAATGTATAAGTGAAACTTTTCCCCCACATCCTTGCCACATTTATCATTACTTGTATTCTTAATAATTGACATTCTGACAATTATCTGGGGTAAGATGGAATTTCAGTGTATTTTTTTTTTAGAGAGAGAGAGAGAAAGAGAGAGAATTTTAATATTTATTTATTTATTTTTTAGTTTTCAGCAGACACAACATCTTTGTTTGTATGTGGTGCTGAGGATCCAACCCAGGCCGCACGCATGCCAGGCGAGCGTGCTACAGCTTGAGCCACATCCCCAGCCCCTCAGTGTATTTTTAATTTGCATTTTTTCTAATTGCTAGTGATGTTGAATACTTTTTCATATATTTGTTGACTGATCATATTTCTTCTTATGTAAGTGTCTGTTCAGTTCCTTTGCAAATTTATTAATTGGGTTATTTTTTTTTTTGTTATTAAGCTTTGTGAGTTCTTTATATATCCTGGAGATTAATGCTCTATCTGAGGTGCAGTGGAAAAGATTTTCTCCCATTCTGAAGGCTTTCTTTTCATGTTAATGTTTCCTTTGCTGTGAAGAGTTAGTTCTTTGATACCATCCCGTTTATTGATTCTTGATTTTACTTCTTGTGCTTTAGGAGTCTTGTTGAGGAATTTTGTTCCTAAATTTGGCTAGAGTTTTAAGAACTATATTGATTGGGAGAGTTGAGAGTGGACATCCTTTTCTTATTCCTGATTTTAGAGGAAATGCTTTCATTTTTCTCCATTTAGTATGTTGGTCTTGTAACATTTAGCCTTATTCTTAATTTTTTCATTTTTTTGGAATGTATCGATGCTGAATTTTGTTGAAAGCTTTTTCTACATCTATTGAGATGATCATGTAATCTTTGTTCTTAATTGTATTTGTGTGGTGAATTACATTTATTGATTTTCATATGTTGAAACAACATAAAATCCCTGGGATGAACAATCAAGATCATGAGGTACAATCTTATTTCTAGCTTATTGGAGTAACATTTTTCAGAGTAGTTTCTGATGATCCTCCAGATTTTAGTATTATCTATGGTAGTTTTTTCTTTCTCATCTCTAATTTTGATCCTTTGAGTCTTATCTCTCTTTCTTTTGGATATTTGGCTGAGGGCTTATCAATCTTGTTTATTCTTTCAAATAACTAACTCTTTAATTCATTGATCCTTTATGTTTTTTTTTATTCTGTTTCATTAATTTTGGCTCTCATTTTAATTATGTTCTATTTTCTGATTTTGGTATTAGTTTGTTCTTCTTTTGAGAAATACAAAGTTTTAAATATTCAAAAAGTGGTATGAGGAAAAGAAGGGGAGAGTTTGCAAATGATGGCCATAAGGAATGAGTAGCAAAAAAATCCCTGAATATAAATATAGCAAACAGAGAGAGAAAGAGATAACAAGAGAGGGAAGAAATGAGAGAAAGTAATGAGAGGAACAAAAACAAAGGTAAAATAACAAAGAAAAAAACCAAACAAAAACCACATGAAAAGTCCTGACTCTCCAAAGTCAAAACAAGGCAAATAACAAATGGGTGAAAAATGATAAAAATGAAAGAAAAAAATATGAATATGTATACACACACACATCCTCAAAGCAATCAGCTCTGTGAGAAACACACACACACACACACACACAGAAAATGGAAAGAGAAAAAAAGGGAGAGAGTCTTAAGGAAAAGGAAAGGCTGTTTCCACTGACATGATCAGAACCCGTGACATGGGGAGGTTCTCTGCCCACACATTGCCCCTCTTTCCATTTCTCCTTGGCTGCACACCTTTGAACAGAACAAGGGCTGGGCTCCTTAAAACTGATGTTTGTGTTGGTCACCAAGATGCCAGCAGAGTGACCTGGAATGGAAGCTGAAGGCAGCAGCTCTTGGCTTCCCTTCTCCCCAGAACAGGACAGGACAAATGGGAGCACCACAGCTGGAGCCCTGTCTGGACACACCAGTCAATGCCCCCAGGGCAACGCTGGTGTGGAGCACTAACCAGGAGGGGCCAGTGGCTGGTGTGGGCTCTAAGCATCCTGGGAATTTTGCCAGATGGTGTCAAATCCAGAGATCAGATCCCCATCCCTGCTGCAGGGCAGATGCTGGTCTGGATGTCTGGGTCTCAGTGACCTCCAGAACATTCCACTCATGGAATGGGGGAGTTAACTCTGCCATCTCCCATGTTCCACCACATTAGGCTTGGACTTTCCAGGAGCAGACCTGGAGTTTCTGGCCTTGCCCAAGCTGTTGGCATGCGATGCCACAAACAAAGGGAAAGAAAGGCTCTGTCCCCAAAGGGAACCCGGCTTGGGCTTGCTGCGCCTGTTTGAACAGGGCTTGGTTGGGCACATTCTAGACCCCATGGAAGGTGCTCACTGGGACTCTTCAATGCTTTTTGTGGATGCCCAGATCTAGCTCAGGGGGCTGCAGCTCACCACTCCAGAACCCCCCCCCCCCCCTCAGCTTCCCCCCTGTGGCCATGAGACAGGCACTTTAGTCATAGCTGATGGCAGCCTCTGCAGGGTTAGGTTAGACTGCCTCTTGGCCACAGGTTCTCCTGTGCCAAATGTAGGTAGAGTGCTTTCCCCTCTCTGTGTCCCTCTCCTTCCCCTCTGCAGTGAACCATTCAGAGCTCCACAGCTTCTGTGTCTCCATGATTCTTCTTCCATTGCTGAACTCTAGCTGATGCCCTCCATTACCACCTTGCTGAGAAGCAGGGCTCCTTCTGTTGAATCTCAGGTCATGGAGCAGCCGGGACACACACTTACTTTCACCGATGGTCTCACCGCCCACAACCTTACCACTTAGCACTGCTGTTGCTTTATCCCATAAGTGTTGGTGTGCTGTTTTTATTTTTATTTTTATTTTTTTTTTAATATTTATTATTTTTTAGTTGTAGTTGGACACAATATCTTTATTTTATTTTTATGTGGTGCTGAGGATCGAACCCAGGGCCTCACATGAGCTAGGCGAGCACTCTACCACTGAGCCACAACCCCAGTCCCGGTGTGCTGTTTTTAAATGTCCACTTGTCTCAAGTTGCTTTATAGTTTCTTTTGAGATTTCTTCTTTGACCCTTTAATTGTTCATGAGCGTGTTCAATTACCACATATTTGTGTATTTTCTACTTTCTTCCGGTTACTGACTTCTGGTTGATTCTAGTCTGTTCAGCTCTTTCCTGGGTGTGTGGACAGGTCTAATTACTTTCATGTTTTTGAGATTCTGGAAGAGAAAATAAAACTTTATCTTCTCTGTTCTTTTTTTTAATATTTATTTTTTAGTTATAGGTAGACACAATATCTTTGTCTTATTTTTATGTGGTGCTGAGGACTGAACCCAGTCCCTCACTCACACTAGGCGAGTGGTCTCCCTCTGAGCCACAACCCCAACCCCTCTTGTCTGTTCTTAAGAGTGCCTTTGGATTCTTTTTCTATACCTCCTCCTGCAAATGAAGTCAGTTTTTGGGAAAATGTCAGATGCTGTCTGCTTTATGGCCTGATTCTCCACTCTGGCAATGTAGCTGAGGCAGGCTCTGGAGTTTTGGGTGTGGATATTAGGCTTTTATCGAGTGTTGCCACACTGTGTTAACCAGGAGCTCAGAGGGAAGGGACAACAGTCAGAGTGCCTTTGTTCTGCCTCACCAGGCAATGAGCCACTGCCCCTGAGCTGGGCCAGGGTGGTCAGCCCCAGGCTTTTCTGTTTGCTGCATACAGAGAATATCACCTATTCCTTGAATGGGGATTGAGCAGTTCTAAGGAGCATCCTCTCTTCAAATGCCAGGGACTTTGCCTCAGGAGAGGACTGGGAATGCAGCAGGTCTGGGAGAGAATGCCGAATTGTCTCTAATATCAGGACAATACTGTAGAAGATTTAATTCTTTGTGTCAATTTATTAATGTGAGTAAATATCTAAAATATTATTTAATATTTGAAAGGTAAACTTTGGAGACAGTCTTAGCTTTTCTACACAATTTGTCTGTCTTTCCAGAGACTATTAACTTGTCCTTTACCGAGTCAGAATCATTGTGAAGAACCTTGCTGACAGGGTCTAGACTATGAGGTGACGAATGATAGATGTTAGTTCTTTTTCTTCCATTTTTTTTCATATGTTTCATACCCTATTAATTTTAAAATACTTAAGGTAAACATATTTCTTGATTGAACAGCTGAATAATGTAAAAATTTTCCCTTATTTTATGTTAATTTTTCTTTATGACTTATCTTGAAAATTTTAGTCTCTCCTGTGTTATATATACCTCTGAGAACTCAATTATGGGAAATGATTTTTATCATGACCAATTAAAAGTCTAATGCTAAGTATTACATCTTTAACCCAATGTTTAATAATTTTAAGCATAGGAATTTCCCTTATATCAAAAATTTTTTAAAACTTTTATTTTATTTATGTATTTTTGTGTGGTGCTCAGGATCGAACTCAGGGCCTCACACGTGCTAGGTGAGCGCTCTACTGCCATGCCACAACCCCAGCCCCAAATCAAAATTCTTATGTAGACATATCTGTCTATATAACATCTAAGTGACCACAAGTCTATCTTGCGTACTTTCCAGAATCGTTTTGCCTGTATTTGTCCTTCTTACTCTGCTCATCATCCTCTCAGATATTCCATGAATTGCACTTTATTTTTCAGGCCCCCTCTGATTCTCATGATCTCGAGCAGTCCTTTGTGCTCCAAATCATGTTTAGAATTCACGGAGTTGTACATAGTGTTGTGTTGCTCACAGCAGGTTGTTTTCCTTTAGGTAACAAAAGATGGTTTTCAATTGTTTGAACATCCTGAAATTAAGTCTTTCAGAAATCAATTAGCAAATATTTTCTGCTAAGTGTTAAAATAGAATGCAAGGTATATCCCTTGTTTGATTGATTTCTGTGATATTTTCATCTTTGCTATTTCCATAACAAAAAGAGCAAAATAGTAAGCAGTGCTGTTAAGAGAGAATTCAATTTGTATCATTCTTCTTTTCTAGGGAGTGCTCCCATTTGCTGTGGTGGGGAGTATAGATGAGGTGAAAGTTGGAAAAAGGATGGTGAGAGGCCGTCATTACCCCTGGGGAGTTTTGCAAGGTAAGCACCATGAAGGAGGGGAGATCTGGAGTGAAGTCACATACCCTGTGTGCAACGTGGTCTCAACTGCTTGTACTTGAACTAGTCTTGGCAACTCTCGCTGGCTGTAAATGAATGCTTACTAGTGAGAAAAACAGGTTCTCCTTTATTTAAGCCAATTCTTACTGTGACTATGATCCATTTTCATAGAAATTTGCTAGGTTGTGCTTTAGGCCAAACTATAGAAAATGGGCATCATCTCCTTGTTTACCCTAATGTTTACTCCATACATATTAGCTTTCCCTTGCTCTGCATAAATCACCCCATTCAGAATGCTGGGAATCATTCAGAAGCCTAAGTACTACTATTTAAATATGTTACCTAAACTACCACTTAATTTATAAAGCATTTTAAAGAGATCATTGCCCTTAAACAAAGAATCCTAGAGGTCAATATCTTTGATGAACATATATGTAAAAATCCTCAACAAAATACTAGCAAATAAAATCCAATAGCACATTAAAAAGATTATTAGCTTGGATTCATACCAGGGATGCAAGGATATTTCTATGCATACAAATCACTAAACATGATACACCATGGCAACAGGATGGAGGACAAGATCTACAGGATTATGTCAATAGGTGCAGAAAAGCCTGTGGATAAAATCCAACACTTCCTAATGGTAAAAACACTGAGCCAAGTAGCCATACAAGGAACACATCTCAGCATAATAGAGACATTTATAAATAAGTCAACAGCTAACACTTATTGAATGGAAAGAAGTAGAAGGCTTTCTTCATAATATCTGAAGCAAGACACAAATATCCCTTTCATCACTTTTTTTTTCAACACAGTGATAGAAATCCCAGGCAGAGCACTTATTCTAGAGAAAGAAAGAGAGGGCACGAAAATTGGAAAAGAAGTTAGTTGTTGCTGTTTGCAGAGGACATTTTCCTATGTATAGAAAAGCTAAAAAACTCCATCAAAACAGAAAATAAGTAAATTTAGCACAGTTTCAGGATACAGAATCAACATAAAAAACAGTATCATTGCTGTACATCAAGAGTGAATTGGGCTGGGGTTGTGGCTCAAGGGGTGGAGCACTCACCTAGCATGCATGAGGCACTGGGCTCAATCCTCAGCACCACATAAAAATAAAATAAAGGTATTGTGTACACCTACAACTAAAAATATATATTAAAACATTTTAAAAAGAGTGAATTGTCTGAAAAATAAATCAAGGAAACAATCCCATTTAAAACAGATAAAAATACCTAGGAATAAATTTAACCAAGGAGGTGAATGGTGTTTACAGCAAAAATTATAAAAGGTTAATAAAAGAAATCAAAGAAGCCACAGAAAGTGGAAAGATATACCATGTTCATGGATTGGAAGAATCAGTGCTATTGAAATGTATGCAATACCCAAAGTGATTTGCAAATTTAATTCAATCCCTATCAAAATACTAATGGCCTTCTTCATGAAACTAGGAAAAAAAAAACCTCTAAAACTTACATGAAACCACAAAAACAAAAAGCCCCAATAGCCAAAGCAATCTTGAACAAAAGAACAAAGCATGAGGTGTTATGCTATGTGACTTCAAGATGCCCTGCATGGCTGTAACAATCAAAGCAGCGCATTGCTGGCATGAAAACAGACACATGGCCACAGAGGCAGAATGGAGAGTCTGGAGCTAAATCTGTGTGTCTGCCTCCAGCTGATTTTTGTCTGTTGGAGAAAGGATAGTCTTCACTAGATGGTGCTGGGAAAGTTGAATATCCATATGCAGAAGAATGAAGTTGGACCACTATCTCTCAACAGTTACAAAGATCAACTAAAAATGGATTAAGCCCTGAAAATGTGAAACTGTTAGATGAAAATTAGGAAAAATGCTTCAGGATATTGGAATGGGCAAAAATGGGTAAAAGCACAGAAAACACAAGCAGAAAACTAAAATCTTCACAGAGAAAGAAGACGTCCATCAGAGTTCACAGACAAGCTGAGTAGGAGAAAGTGTCCACAATGTGTTCACATCAGACAAGGGGGTGATAGTCACAATATTTATGGCTCTACAAAACTCACTGGCAGAAAAATAAGCACCCCGAGTAAAAATGGGCAATAGATCTGAACAGATATTCTACAAAGAAGACATACAGACGACCAGTAGGTTAATTAAAAATGCTGAGTATCTCTAACTATCAGGTAAATGCAATTCAGAATCACAAGGTGATATTACAAGCCATTGCATAAAGCAGTATGGAGCTTTCTTGAAAAAATTAACACTACTATGACCAGAGGACCCAGCAATTCCATTGCTGGATATTCACCCAAGAGAAGAGAAGTCAGCATCTGGTAGAGGCACCTGCACTCCCTGCCTGTTGTCCCACTGGTGATGATAGCCTAGAAATGGAAATCGTCTAATTGTCCATGAATAGATGAATGGATAGAGAGAATGTAACAAATATACAATGGAACAGTTTGGCCACACAAGAGGAATCTGGCCTCTTGCAACAATGTGGATGGAAGTGGAGATCTTCAGGCCAAGAACAAAGGTCTGGTGCAGGAAAGTTGCCACATGACCTCACTCATGTGGAATTCAGATTGCTGATCCATAGCAGCTGAGTGCAGTGGCGGGTGGGGAAGCTTATCAGTGGGCACTGACTGTCCTTTGGTGTCAAGAAACTGATGTGTGAAGTTGCAAAATGTGGTGCTTTCAGACATCTGCAGTGTACTACACAGTTCAAGTTCAAGAAGAAACTATTTTGAATTTTAATTTCAAACAATTATAAATATTTGAGGATATAAATATGTTCAACCTGCTTTAAACATCATCACACAATGTGTACATGTGCTGGTTGGTACATGGCATGCCATTAATATGTACAACTTTTATAGTTTTATGTATTAGTTAAAAAAACTATAAAGGAGTCATTTGAAGTTATTCATTGATTTTGGACATTGATTCATGCAGTCTTATAAATGTGTTGTATAAATGGAGTTTAATACCAAAAGCCTGTACAATTTTAAGGGTTTTTTTTTTTTAAATTAAAGAATTCATCTTAAAAACTATATACATTAGTGAATTTTATTACTGGACAATTAGCTGTGAAAAACCTTGAGGGTAGTTTGTAGAATAATAATACCATAATTAATGAAAAACTGTATAATATGTCAACATCACTTGTTATTTTACTATTCCTATTTATTTTTTTAGTTGTAGATGGACACAATACCTTTATTTATTTATTTATTTTTATGTGGTGCTGAGGACTGAACCTAGTGCCTCACATGTGGTAGGCAAGTGCTGTACCCATGAACTACAACCCCAGCCTCTATTTATTCTTATAATGAATTTAAAGCTAATTCGTTGATCTTTCTATCCACCATGCCCAAATTAGTCATTTAATTTAACCAGTTACATGGTTCAAATAATTATTTTGTTTTATTTTTTTTAATATTTATTTTTTAGTTATCGGCGGACACAACATCTTTGTTTGTATGTGGTGCTGAGGATCGAACCCGGGCCGCACGCATGCCAGGCGAGCGCGCTACCGCTTGAGCCACATCCCCAGCCCATGGTTCAAATAATTATAACTGTTAATAATATTAGTCACTTCTCTGTTGCTACAGTGGTTTTCATGCATGAATTTATCTAACAATGCTTTACCAATGCCAATGAGTGAGCGTGGATTGAGTGGGTGAGGTGTGGATTTGTTGTTCTCCTGGCTAGTGGAAAACGAGAACCACTGTGACTTCGTGAAGCTGCGGGACATGCTCCTCTGCACCAACATGGAGGACCTGAAGGATCAGACCCACTTCTATCACTATGAATGCTACAGATGCCGCAAGCTGCAGAAAATGGGCTTCACAGACGTGGGACCTGACAACCAGCTGGTTAGGTGAGCACAGACCCAGCAATGGCAGTTGGACACGTGACTTAGGAAACCCCCGAACACACAGAGCATGGTTATTAGAAATGAGCAGTGCTAAGCTCCTCTCATCCTGGGCTGTCCTGAGGTGAGAATGGGAGATGCAGGGGGAGAGGAAGGGGCAGCCTCCTGAAAGGGATCATTTGCATGTTGAAACACATCCAATGTGCCAATATTAAGGTGTGTATTCAAGGAAAACCTTTATTTTGCACTTGGAATTTGTATTTGAATGTTTGTATTTATGTAAAACAGATTCAGCGATTTGACAATATTGATGAAAATTGGCAAAGGATATTGAGATGAATTGAGGGAGAAAAGAGTTGAAGGCAGCAATGTGCTGACCTGTCAGTCCAGAGTGAAGAGCCCGTGGGCAGTGTTCAGCTGTGTTGGAGAGGAGTGACCCTCTTACTGCTGGGTTATCAGAGTCCCTGAGTCGTTTTGTCATCGAGTCAGTCATGGTTCCTTGAAGAGAACCCAAATTGAACCATCTTCAGCAGATGATATTTTAAATGATTTCTTGCTTTAATTGAACTATTTTCAACACAGCCTCATATCTTAGAGGTTTTCTTAAATTTTCTTGTCAAGAGATGTAAAGAACCTGATATAATGGAAAGTGGAGGGAGTAAGAAATCAGTTCTGTGTGTTTCAACACCCTGCTGTTCTTTGTGTACACCCCTGAGACGGTTTTGCACCCCCTGCCACTGAACCACATCCCCAAACTCTTCTTGTAAATTTTGTTTTGAGACAGGGTCTTGCTAAGTACCCAGCGTGGCCTCCAGCCTGCAGTCCTTCTGACTCCAGACAGCTGTGGTGGCTGGCTTGCTCTGCCCAGAACATGCACACTGTGTCAACAATTATGTCTCACTCCTGTCATCCCAGTGTATGGAAAGTTCATTTTGTGTTACTACATATGAGAGGATGATATTTCATGGGACCTGAAATGCAGATATATTGTTAACATGCTCATTTATAAGAGAATTTTAACATAAGTCATAAGCATTCCTTTTTAGTTTTCAAGAGATATATGAAGCCAAGAGACAAGAGTTTTATGATCAATGCCAGAGAGAGGAAAAGCAGTTGAAACACAGGTTCATGCAGCGAGTAAAGGAGAAAGAAACAACACTTAAAGATGCTGAAAAAGAGGCAAGTACTGCCCGGTTCCATAGCAATTGTATTCATTTTCAGGTATACTATTAAGTTGAGGATAATCTCAGGAGATTGGCTGATGTTCGGGGGAAACTTGCTATTCTTCAACAATTGGCTATCCACTATGTAGAGTCTGAATATAGCCTTTGCAAAATTACAGCCTGTAACTCTGTGTTTTCTGAAGTATCTTGAGAATTTCCCATTTATATTTCCTGCGCTCCAGGTCCCAGGCGGCACCACCCTCCTAGCAGTGCTGGGCTAAGTTTACCCAGGACTCTCATGAGTTGGGTCCTCATGCCTCAGGCTTTCCCGTGGTGGAGCTGAGTGTTGGGAGCCTGCATTCTGTGTGCTGGGGGTCACTCCACTGCATGGATCCCCTGAGCACTGCTCCTGGGGGCTGTCTTGGTGGCTTCCCCTGTGAGACCGCTAGGCATTGTCCTTGTGGGGCTCTCTGCAGTTGCCATGCTTGCCTTTTGAGGTCCCTGTCTTCCTAATTGAGCTTCAAGGATTTAAAATAGATTTTTTCTTGGGTCATACTGTAGTTTTTGCATTGAGCCCATGTCTTTTTTTCTTTTTTACAGTTTTTATTCTTTTTAGTTATATCTGACAGCAGAGTCTATTTTGATATATTTGTACCAATGACACCATGCCACTTTGAGCCCATGTGCTGTGAGACAGCAAATGGTACTTTGAGGTTTTTGGTGACCAGTGAGTTACTGTCAAGGGCTGCAGTTTTTTTTTTTTGTACCAGAGATTGAACCCAGGGGCATTTAACCATGGAACCCCAATCCCCAGCCCTTTTTTTATATTTTATTTTGAGACAGGGTCTTGCTAAGTTGCTCAGGGCCTCACCAAGTTGCTGAGGCTGGCTTTGAGCTCACAATCCTTCTGCCTCTGCCTCCTTAGCTTCTGGGTTTACAGGCATGCACCACTGTGCTCATGGGATGCAGTTTTGAAGATAACTAATGTCAGTTCCAGGAAGAGGCATGCGTCTGTGGATTTCAGAAACTCATAGGGCTCTTCTGCTGTTATCCTCCTGCTGCTAATTGTGGTGGTCCTTCTCTCCCTCTCCCTGTCCTCTTCCTCCTCTCCCACCTCCCAGTTTTATAAATTTGGTAGAAAATGCCAAGTGAGGGCTGGGGATATGGCTCAGTTGGTAGAGGGCTTGCCTTGCATGCATAAGGCCTTGGGTTTGATCCCCAGCACTACAAAGAAAAACAAACAAACAAAAAAATGCCAAGTGATGTACAGACTAAAGTCATGATGAAATGCTTCACACTTGCCCAGAGAGTCTTGTGTATTTAGATGCCCTTGACAGTGAGTCCATCTATTTAGCTTTTTAAAAACTTTTTCAGAATAGCTATCTCTTTTTAAAAATATTTTTAGTTGTAGATGGACACAATACCTTTATTATGTTTATTTAGTTTTTAAAATTTTTATTGTGGTGCTGTGGATTGAACCCAGTGCCTCACACATGCTAAACAAGTGCTGTACCACTGAGCCCCAGCCCCAGCGCAGAATATCTACCTCATTATTCCGATTTTTTTTATATCCTGTATTTTTTTCCTTTAGTTTGATCCTTAGACTTTAAAAAACAATTCATAGATGATTTAAACAATCAACTTTAAAAATTTCTTCTTTATTTACATTTTTATCTGTTCTTTTAGTTATACATGACAATAGAATCCATTTTGACATAATTACAAAAGCATGAAATATATCTTGAAACATACTTTATATACAGAGATATGAAAAATTGTGCTCTATATGTGTAATAAGGATTGTAATGCATTCCACTGTTGTCGTGTATTTAAAAAAATAAAATCAATAAAAAAGAAATATATCTTGATCTAAATCAGTCCCCAGTACCTCTCCTTCCCCTCCCCCCATCCCTTGCTCCTTTCCTCTATTGATCTTTCTGCCATTAGCCACATCAATGTTTATAGCAGCACAATTCACAATAGCTAGGCTATTGAGCCAACCCAGAGGCCCTTCAATAGGTGAATGGATAAACAAAATGTGGTATATATACACAATGGAATGTTACTCAGTCTTAAAGAAGAATGACTTTATGGCATTTTCTGGTAAATGGATGGAACTGGAGACTATCAAGCTAAGTGAAATAAACCAGTCCCTCCAAACCAAAGGTTGAATGTTTTCTCTGATATGCGGAAGCTAAACAATTAAAAATTTTTTTGTCTAAAATTTTCTCAACTTGGATATATCTGGATTTAATTGTTTTGGAGTTTGAACTTTGGAGTCATCTTATCACCTTATTTTCTCATGTTGTCTGTGTTTTGATGTTGACATTTGCTTTTATGTTGGGATGGATATCTTTAGTATTGTTAGATGATGGTCTTTTTCGTGAACTCCTTTCTCCTCATAAATGTGCCCTGCCACTGGAGGTTTATCTTAACCTCAGCACATCCACTCAGCTTGTTCAAAGTGCTGTGTGCAATTCTCAGCTCTGCTTTGGGAGAATAACCATCAGCAATAGCTATAGCTTCAAAGCAGAGTATATGTCAATGTACAGTAAAAGCTTATTTAAAAAAAATTTAAAGTGTATTTAAAATTATCTCTACCACTCTGTTAATTAAAGAGAAGAAAAGTGGAATGATTATATAGAATGTGCTAAAAATTAGATAACAGAGAAAGTAAAATTAGGGTTAAACTCTATAAAAAATAGAGGAGGAAGTGGGATATAAAAAAATCAAGAAAAGAATGAAAGAAAGAAGAGAAGGGGAAGGTATGCAAATGAGAGAAGGAAAAAGAAAAACCTAATGACTGAATTTAAAAATGCTTAAGATTACACAGAATTAGGAAATCAAAGGGGACATAGGAAGCCAAGCAGGGGAACTCAGAAGAACACAGGTGGGACAGAAACCTGTGGGGAGGCTGCACATACTTTCTGCTGAGGCCCATAGGGCGCTTCCTCAGGCACTTCAGCTGTGAGGCCATGGTCGGTCCAGGCCCCTACCGCCTTGGGCCAGAGGCAGCATCTCAGCATCACACTGAGGGGGTCTGTTTGTTCTCCCACATTGGGATCAGCTTAGCCACTGTGGTGTGTCCATCCAGGTGCTACCCTGTCCTCCTCCTTACCCAGCTTATGCACAGGGGGTTCTGGGCCTTGCTCTGTGGGCCTCAGGAATGGTGGCCACTGGGGGCTGTGCTGTCCTCAGTCCTGTTGCTGCCTCCCCTTCTGGTTCATGCAGAAGTCTCTGTGCACTGGAGCTTTCTGGTATGTGTGGAATCATGGCAGGACAGGGTTGGCTGCAATGCTCTGACCATCCTCCTCTGCTGCCTTGGGAGGTGGTTCTGGACATTTTCTGGTTGGCCTGGGTCCATGTGGCCCTGGCTTTCCTGGGGGACTGGCTCTGGCTCTTCGCAGCAGCCCACACCCTCTCCTGCTTGTGGGGGGCACTTCACGTGCAACGTGGAGGTTTTGGTGCGCACACAGGCGAACCTGGGCAGTGGATGGAGCCCCACTCTCCTTCCTCTGCCAGCAATGAGTTTTGCTAGCTTTAGGATTACAGGATTTGTTGTTTTTGTTGTGTACTGGGGATTGAACTCAGGGCCCTCGACCACTGAGTCACATCCCCAGCCCTATTTTGTATTTTATTTAGAGCAGGGTCTACTGAGTTGCTTAGCGCCTCACTGTTGCTGAGGCTGGTTTTGAACTTGTGATCCTCCTGCCTTAACCTCCCAAGCCTTTGGGATTTCAGGTGTGTGCCTCTGCACCTGGTAGTCTACAAGGATTTTGTGCAGACTGTGAGCCTAGATTTAGCAATTTCACTCAAAGAGACCCTGTGGAATAAAAGAGTTAGAACATATACTTTCTTAGGAAAAAGGAAAATGTTTAAAAATTTTTGTTCATAGAATTTTTTTTTTTAAATGGTGCTGGGGATGGAACCCAGGGCCTGTGCATGGGCTGGAAGGGGTAAGTACTCTACTGACTGAGCTACACCCCCAGCCCCATAGCATCACTTGGTTTAGTGAAAGCATATTCAGTTTTAAAATCAACAAAAAGAATCACACATATGAAAACTCATGAAAATATAATGAATCTTTAAATATTGTTTGATGTTCAGGAAAAGACAATCTGTTCTTCAGCTGTTCTGTAACACTTGGATTTGGGTCATGACTGCCCATTTGTCTTACAGCTGCAGGACAAGTTTGAGCACCTTAAAAGATTTCAACAAGAGGAGATAATAAAGCTTGAAGGAGAGAGAAGAAAACTGGAAGAAGAAATCATCGACTTCTGTAAAACAAAGGCTGCCTCTGAAAATGTGCAGGCTCAGCTGTGCGCCAACATGAGGAAGGACAAAGAGCGTAAGAAGTAGTCTTTTTACCTTCCAGCTGTGCAGGCTTCTGTCACTCTCTGTCCCCTCTGCTGAATCATGGCAGTGAGCTCTGGTTCCGGCTCTGGCCTTGAGAACTCACTGGTTGTCTCTCTGTGTGCTTCTTCCATTTGAACGTGGAGTACTTGTTAGGTGCTGTGTCATAGATGAGCAGTGTCGCTCAGAACCAGTTCACAAGTGAAAAAAGAAGTAGGCAGCATAGTACAAATAGAGTGGGTTTGGGGAGGAGGTTCTTTTACCATAGCCATGGCTGTGGCTCCAGTAGTGACTTAAGATTCATATCTCAGTAGAAACTGTGGGCTTCGTTTGAAATGGTAGGCATAAAATGTTATAAAGAGGTCACAATGAAACCCATTTCCTTATCAATTCTACTGATAACAAGTCCTTGTTAATTTTCATTACAATATGATATTGACTTTTGGTTGGAATCCTTGTGCTTTCATGTCAGAGCTCTGTAAAACTGATATTAGGATAAAAGGTTCAAAATCTAGAGACAGTACAATGGGCAGCCATGAGTGCCATTTAGGTAATGATGTTATATATGCCTGGAAGATTTTCAGTAAGTTGAGTCTAAAGTGTTCAAAATTATGGAAAGTAAGATTTTTTTTTCTTTGGTGAAAACTTTCTTCTGGCCTTATGGGCTGTAGTTTCTGAATTTAAAATGTTTCCATCAGTTTATGTGAGTGTGGCTGACTTCCACCATGGTTCAGTCTATTAAAATACAACTTTCGAGGGTCTTTCCCTCTGTTCCCTCCAGCTACATCTGGTTTAGCACACAGAGCCTTTCCAGAGTAATGTTTGCTTTTGTTGAACTTATATTGCTGCATTCATTTTAATTATAGCATTTTTAGGATATCAGAATATTGTAGTATAGTCTCAAAATACTTCCAAAAACATGATCTTTGATTAAACCGTCACTGCATAGTGTTGTTCTGTGAAGAACAGAGGATGGGAAGGCAGGTCTCTGTCAGCTTCACATATGCATGTTGTTAATCATTTTACAATGGGGGAGGAAGGGTCTGCTATATGGTTTTCTAGCGCAATCTCTGCAAGGACAGGATCTTTGTTTTGCTCACTTAGGTTTTCATTCCTGGGCTTAGACGATTCCTGACCCACAGTGGATATTAGTAGTTGAATAAATGAATGTTGCAAGAATACATCAGCTACATTATACGCACAAACTAATTTGGTACGTGAATTTCAGAAGACAATGTAACTTGTTAATGCTTTTCAACATGCTTGTGTGTTGTATTGCTGAAAGACTTGTATTCTCTTTCTTTCATCTTAATCAAATGTTATTAAAATCAGACTCACCAATGTTATGCCATGGCCAAAAACAATAAAATTAACCTTGTAAAAATTATTGCTCCTCTATAGTTAAGAATGGACTTTTAAGGTAATAATGGAAGAATCCAGTTTTATTATAGCAAAAAGTATTCACCCTAAAATAAACTGTAATTTTTTCATTGGTTTTCTCAAAGTATAAACCACCAAATCATAGTTTATTTTTGCTCTTTCCACAATTAAAAAAATAGAGTTAGTTTCCTATATAACTTTTTACTCTATATGAACAAAACCATGACTTTGCTTGGCTTTATTTAAAATAGTTTCCAAATTTATGTAGCCCAGAAAGATTTAATGTGAGAATTCTTTATTTTTTCATTAACGTCCTCACATATTGCCTTATTGTGGGCTGAGTTTTTTTTTTTTTTTTTTTTTTTTTGTAGTGATGTTTTGTTTCCATTAGTATTTCCTTGTATGTCTACTCTTTATTTTCTTTTTGGCTGCTGTTGGTATTGCAGGTGACATCATGAAATTATAACAGTCAAATCTGAATTGATGTCAACCTCAGTCATGTACCCAAACTACCTCTTTAAAGTCATTGATACAACACATTATCTCTCTGTTCTTTGGTACCTGGTAAGACACACACCAATGCTTCTCATGTATTGGTTTTATGAATTGGGTAGAAAATGCAAAGTGATGTGCAGACCAAAATTATAATAAAATGTGTCTCACTTGCCCAGAGAGCTTTGTGTATTTAGGTGTCCTTGAGAGTGAGTCCATCTATTTAACTTTTTCTTTTTTTTGTACTGAGGATTGAACCCAGAGGTGCTTAACATCTGAACCACATCTCCAACCCCTTTTATTCTTATTTTGAGAGAGGGCCTCACTAAATTGCTGAGGATGGCCTTGAACTTGTGATCCTCCTGCCTCAGCCTCCTGAACCACTGGGATTACAGGCATGTACCACTGCACCTGGAACTATTGAACTTTTTAATAAACAAGTTTTAGCTGGTACATGAAAACACAAGTTGTACACACTGCTGCAGTAAAATGATGGTTCAACACATTGACCTTATGTGGTGTTTACAGGGTAAAAATGTAGATCGCCTCACATACTTAGCACTTCCTTGTGCTGAAGACCCAGCCCTTTCCTCCAACTCTCTGAGACGCACAGGCCATGGTTGTTGGCTAGGTCCTTGCTGTGCAAAGTGCATCAGACTCCCTACTTTTGTCTAACTGCACTCTAGTGCTCAGTGAGCAGCCTTTCCCCATTCCCCACTTCTGGAAACCACTTTTCTCTCAACTTCTGTGAGACCAGCTGTTTCAGGTCCCATGTGTCAGTGGCATGTGGCTCCTGCCCCTCTGTGCCTGCTTATCCCACGTAATGCAGTCATCTCCAGGTCCAGCCATGTCACGATTTTCATGGCTCCAGAGCACTCCATTATGTCGACCAGTCTCATTTTCTGTGTTCACTCCCTGGCCGGTGGGCACTTCCTAGCTGCTGGGCTGGGGCTGCAGTAAGCAGGAGAGCAGGTGTCTTACTGATTTACTGATTCCTTTGGGGATGTGCCCAGTAGTGAGATGGCTGGATAATGTGGCAGCTCCATTTTTACTTATTTTAAAAAACCATAGTGGCTATACTAATTTACATTCCCACCAACAGTGTACAAAGGTTCCATTATCTCCTTGTCTCCAGTAGCATTTCTAATTTTTAGTCTTTTTGGGTAAGAACCTTTTTTTTTAACTGTGATAATTCACTGTGGTTTTGAATTTCCCCATTGATTAGTGATTTTGAACATTTTGTTTTTCATGTACCTGTGGCTATTTGCATTTCCTATTTTGAGAAATGTCAATTCAGATCATTGCCAATTTCTAAATATTTATTTTTTTCTTTTGTATTTATTAGTGCATTATGGTCAAACATAACATTGGGGTTCATTTTGGCATAATCGTACAAGCATGAAATATAATCTCCAATTCAGTCCTGAGTACTTACCCTCTCTCTCTCCTCTCTTCCTTCCCCCTGTTCCTCTTCCTGTACTGTATTGGGCTTCTTCCTATTTACATATTTTTTTAAAAAATTGGTGCCTTATACGTAAACACAGAGGTGAAATTTACTGTGGAATATACACCCATGTACACAGCGAGTTCTGTTGATTTTTCTCCACTGTTCCTCCCCTTCCTCCTCCCTCGTTCCTTCAGCTTTGTCCCTTTTCTCTGCTCACCTGATCTCTCTTTTATTGCCATGGAATGCCCACCATCTCCTCCCCCTCCTTACTTCATTCTAGCTTCTGCATATAAGAGAAAATATTTGATCCTTGGCTTTCTGAGTCTGGCTCACTTAACCTCAGCATGATGTTCTCCAGTTCCATCCTTTTAGTAGAAAATTCTTCTTAATGGCTGAGTAGAACTCCATTGTGTATATATGCCACATTTTTTTATCCATTCGTCTGTTGCTGGGCCTCTAGACCGGTTCCATAACTTGGATACCATGAATTGTGCTGTTATAAACATTGTGGTAGCTGTATCACCATAAAGCATGCTGATTTTAGTTCTTTGGAATAAATGCCAAGGAGTGGGATAGTTGGGTCATAGGATGGTTCTATTCTTAATCTTTTGAGGGATTTCCATACTGCTTTCCAGAATGGTGGTACTAATTTGCAGTCTTTCCCCCGCATCCTCACCAGAATTTACTATTATTTGTATTCTTTTTTTTTTTCAAACAAGAACCTTTAATATAAGTGAAAGATACTTTATAAATGCTATTATGACAAAATTAAGTATATCTTAATGCTTTAGCATATGCTCATTTTTAATTTCTACCAACATATCAAAAGAAGTTATGACTCTCAAAATTAGTATCAAAACAGGTATTTAAATCTTGCTACATGTATAGAGATACAAATCTTCGTTCTTTCCAAAGCTGAGCATAAATAACCCCAAATAACATTAAAAACCCAAAAGAATTATTCTTTGCTTATTTCCACTTAAACTACATATAAATTGCCAGAATGACTGTTCATGAGGCTCTCCATCTTATTTGGAAAAATACTGTTAAAATGATTTTGATATTTTCATAGAAGAAATGATATCTTTTTTTCACAGTTGCAATTTTGGTTTTACATACAAGCACACAGGTACTGTTTTATTTCTGATGCTCAGACTAGAAGGGTAGAAAATAAAAAAAGTCATGTTTTGTTAATGTCATGTAAGATACCAAGCATTCTCATGATATCATGACAGTAGTCAATTACACTAAACCACCTCTTAATAATGTAGTGCATGCTTTCTTTACACATCCAATTAAAATACTTTTCCAACACTTTGATGACAATTGAATGTATCTGTATTGTATTGACAGGACAGCAATCCAAGGATAAGTACATGATTACTCAAATTAAAAAATAAAAAGGACAAAGAGTGTAGATTTTGGGACTCTATTAAAGGATATTTGTTTCTGATGAAACTGCAAAATAGAATTGGGTTTTTAAGGGAATTTTTAATATACAACAAGTAATTCCAAAAGTATGAGTACATATGGACAAAGCTTAGTAATTTAGAATTCACTTTTGTAAAAGCATGACAAATATTAAATGTTATATTTGCATTTTGAACACTGCAACATAAATATAAAACACAAAACATCCAAAGTTAACACTGATATACCACACCCAACTTGGATTTAGATACTGAGCATTTTATATTTCATAGAAAGAAATTTTCAGTTTTGTCAATGCTTATAGTATATACTATTATTCCTACCAAAATCTTCATGAAATTTAAAAGGTTGGTATTAAAAGTAATTTCTTTTTTTGAATGTTCTAAAACATGCCAGTATGGATTAACCTTCAAATTTTCAGGGCATAAAAGATACACAAATAGAGTATATAGTTTAATACAGGATAATTCTGTTTACAATTATGACAAAAATACCTTCAATTTTCAGACATTAAAAAGAAAGAAAGAAACCTAAGCAAACAAAAGGTATTTTGGGTCAAGTTATTTCTTAGTACGAATAATATATCATACACCAATCAGTTTTCCAGCCAACAGCATTAAAAATTTACCACTATTAATTGTTAAACAATACATTTACAAGGTGAAAGATCAAAGAAAACTTAAGAACAACAAAAAAACCTCAAAAGGATTCCAAATCCTAAAATAAGAAATCTGCAAATTAAAAAATTTCAAATGTTGCTCAGAAATTTTTTATGCATTACTTGTACTCTCATTTTAACAGCTTGACATATAAAATTTTATACTTAAAAAGACTCTAGCTAATTGTTTAATAATATTTATAGAATGTTACCTCTTTGGGTAGACATGTTTCACACAATAGATTTTAATTAAGAAGAAATCACTTGATAGTTTTAATCGCAATTTATGATTGATTTATAAGTGGATTAATAATCTATTCAATAATTTAGACCAATACAAGGATTAATCTGATCAATGCTCCACTGTGCAATTCTGTCAACTGGGTAAGCCAAAAATTTGACAGATATTTCACTTAGTTGGATTACACATTTCTATGTGTGTTACTGATCAACAAAAATGGGTATACAATGTCAAGCTTTTTCCTGTATCTTTTTTTTTTCTTAAGAGCAGCTCAATGATTGGGGGAGAGGGGACGTTTGATTAGTACAATACAGAAAACAAACAGGAAAAGTATAAAATGGCACTTAATACCAATGCCAGTACTTATCTCATTAGGGCAATAACTAAGGATATTACTAATTTTTGCGTTATTTGCTTTTCTTTAGAACACAAATCAAAGCCATTAACTTGAACTTGAGGTATATACATAATACACACACAACCTTAAGTAAAATACTTTTTTTTTTCATAACTAACATGACATTTAAAATATTGGAAACAGTATCTGTGCTGATTTGTATTTTGACTTAGTGGAACAAAAAGAGAACAACATTCAGTTGGGGAGGGGTATACTGATAATAAAGCTCTTAAAGTTCAAAACATCTTCCTCTCCCTTTGTACTTACCACAGGCTATACATTGTCCTGAGAGGATTCATTGAGAAAAATGTCAATCACAGCTTTAATAAAGTACTTTGAAAGGAACTAATGAGAAAGCAAATTGGAAGATGAGACTCCATCTTGGTTTTCAAATAAGTGGTCTTAATTTTTCTTCTTATAGAAAAAAATTGAAATCAGTTTATTATAAATATATCTAAACCATTAATTTTTGCAGCTTTCAGGTAAAGTCCAGCACTTTGTTTATACAAAGTCTATGAGAAGAGGTCAGTAGAGATCATCTAATCTTAAGTCCTGACATCATCCATTCAAGTCCTTGGCATAATCCCTCGCCAGTAAGAGCACAGCATGCCTGGATATGCCACTGATGATCTTTAATAGAAGTTAGCTTCAAAAACTGGGAGATTTCTGCTACACTCATGCATTCTTTAACGTCTTGTTTATTAGCAAAAATCAGTAATCCAGCTTTTCTTAGGTCCTCATGTGCTAACATTTTGTAGAGTTCTTCTCTAGTTACAGAAATCCTCTCTCTGTCTGTACTGTCCACAACTACTATTACAAACTCCGTGTTAGTATAATAAGTATTCCAGGAAGAACGAAGAGATTCTTGGCCACCAATATCCCACATTAGGAAACGTGTATTATTAATCACTATCTCTTCTACATTACTTCCTATTGTAGGGGATGTATGTACAACTTCATTCATAGAAAATTGGTAAAGGATGGTAGTTTTTCCTGCATTATCCAATCCAACAATGATAACTTTGTGCTCTGGCCCCATGCTGAATGTGATAAGCAAGGTAAAACTGCTCAGAACAAACCACTCTGCAAAAACTCAAGAGATACTGAGATAATGCAGATGGCAGAAGAGACTCATACCAGAAGAATCTCATCTTCTTGTAACACAAGTCGGTTGCCCTGGTGATTGAACAGTCTCCATATCCTGGTGAAGAGAATTCCCATTCTCGGGCAGCGGACCCCCTCCAGCCACCCGGGCTGCCTGGCCTCCCTTGGCTCAGGCTAAAGGGTAGAGAGACGCACTGAAGCCTCCGCCTCTGCTGCTGCTGCCGTTCCCGCACAGGCCACCGGCCCGCTTCCAGGGAACCGGGGGGAGGCCAAAACCCAGGCCGCCCTGCCGTGCGCGAGGCCCCGCCGCTGCCGCCGCGGCACTCGCCTGGCTCGCGGACATCGCCGCCGCGTTGTCTGCGACGAGCCTCGCGGGCCACCGTCCTCCCCCAGCTCCTCTCCGACGGCTGCGGTGGAGGCGACCACGCGGGCGGGGGAGGTGAAGAGCTATTATTTGTATTCTTGATGATTGCCATTTTGACGGGAGTGAGATGAAATCTCAATGCAGTTTTGATTTGCGTTTCCCTGATTGCTAGAGATGCTGAACATGTTTTCATGTATTTGTTGGCAATTTGTATTTCTTCTTTTTAAAAAAATTTATATTTATTATTATTTATTTATTTATGTGGTGCTGAGAATCAAACCCAGTGCCTCACATATGCTAGGCAAATGCTCTATCATTGAGCTACAACCCCAATCCTTTGTATTTCTTCTTTTGAGAAGTGTCTGCTGAGTTCATTTGCCCATTTATTAATTGGGTTATTTGTTTTTTTTATTGTTAAGTTTTTTGGGTTCTTTGTATATTATAGATATTAATCCTCTATTATAAGAGTAGCTAGCAAAGATTTTTTTGTCCCATTTTATAGGTTCTCTCTTCACCTTCTGGATTCCTTTCCTGTATAAAAGCTTCTTACTTTGATGCCATCCCATTATTAACTATGGCATTATTTCCTGAGTTTTAGGTGTCATTGAGAAAGTTATTGCTTGTGCCTGTATATTGGAGTGTTGTTTTTATCCATTTATTATTGGGCTGTTTTACTTTTGGTGTTGAACTTTTTGAGTTCTTTATATGTTCTGTATATTGATTCCCTGGCAGTGGAGCAGGTGGTAAGATCTCCCATTCTGCAGGTGTCTCTTCATGTCTTGTATTCTTTGCTGTGTAGAATCTATTAAATTTGATGCTGTTCCACTTATTGATTCTTGATTTTATGTCTTGAGCTTTAGGGGCTTAAGGAAGTTGGTGCTTGTGCTGACAAGTTGAAGTGTTGAGCCTACATTTTCTTCTAGCTGTTGCAGCGTTTCTAGTCTAATTCCTAGCTCTTTGATCCACTTTGAGTTGACTTTTGTGCAGGGTAAGAGGTAGGGATCTAGTTTCATTCTTCTACATATGGATAACGAATTTTCCCAGTGCCATTTGTTTAAAGGGATGACTTTTCTCCAGTGTTTGTTTTTGGCATCTTTGTCAGGAATCAGATGACTATATTGGTCTGTGCCTTCTGTTCTACACCATTTGCTCATCTGTCTGTTTTTTTTATGCCAGTACCATGCAGTTTTTGTTACTATGGCTCTGTAGTGTAATTGGAAGTCAGGTATTGTGATACTTCCACCATTGCTTTTTCAGCTTAGAATTGCTTTGGCTATTCTGGGTCTTCTATTCTTCCAAATGAATTTTAGGACTTTCTCTGCCTCACAGCCCTGTGAAGAATGTCATTGGTATTTTGATGGGGATTGTGTTCAATCTGTATATTCCTTTAAGTAGGATGGCCATCTTAACGATATGAATTCTGCCTATCCATGAAGATGGGAGGTCTTTACATCTTGTGTCTTCTTCAATTTCTTTTTTCAATGTTCTATCTATAGATTTCATGTAGAGGTCATTCACCTCCTGGGATAGATTTATTCCTAGGTATTTTATTTTATTTTTGAGGCTACTGTGAATGTTATTGTTTTCCTGATTTCTGATTTCTTTCTCTGTATATTTATTACTGGTATATAGAAAAGCTTTTTTTTTAAAAAAATAACTTTATTTATTTATTTTTATGTGGTGCTGAGGATGTGCTAGGTGAACGCCCTACCACTGAGCCGCAACCCCAGCCCAGCTTTGGGTTTTTATATGTTGATTTTTGTAACCTGCTACTTTGCTGAATTTATTATCTCCAGTACTCTTCTGGTAGAATTTTTGGATCTTCTAAGTATAGGATAGTATCATCTGAAGAGTGATAATTTGACTTCTTATTTTCCTATTTTTATCACTTTTGTTTCTTTCTCCTACCTAATTGCTCTGGCTAGAATTTTCAGCACCACATTAAATAGAAATGGTGAGAGAGAACATCCTTGTCTTGTCCCAGATTTTAAAGGAAATGCTTTTGGTTCCCCCCCCCCCCCCACTTACTATGAGGTTAACTTTCAGTTTTTCATATATAGCCATTATGATGTTGTAGTAAGTTACTTCTGTTCCTTGTTCTTCCATTTTTTATTACGTAAAGGTGTTAAATTTTTCCAGACTTTCTCTGCCTCTATTGAAATGTCTGTTCAATTTTTGTCCTTGATTCTATTTATATGGTTGTTTATATTTATTGATTTGATTATGTTAAACTATCCAAGTTTGTCCTGATGTACTGCCGCAGTCTGGCTGGGCACAATCAGGAGCCACTTGTCAAAAGAAACTAACTTTATTTTTAGAACCAAACACGCCAAACAAACAGCCTCTCAGGAAAAACCCCTCAGAGCCTCAACTGCCACCACCGGCTTTCCACAAGCCTGTCTCTCCCCCCTCAAGCTTCTCTCCACCTCCCACAATCCTCCTGCTCTTGAGGCCGATTGGCTGGGTCACGTGGGCAGAGCCAAAAAGTCCCCCAATGAGCAGCTCCGTGGTCTGAAAGGGCAGGGAAACAGTACAATGAGCATCACCGCAGAGGAGCCAATCAGCTAGATGTTGCTGGGGCCGCTGAGCCAATCATCAGCTGGCAGCTGGATTGCTGGCAGCTGGAAGTTTGCTGGGGCCCCTTCGGCTGTGGCTCTCAACATCTCCCCCTCTCTGTTTAAACAACAAGCATGTGGCTTAGGGACCGTGCCTGTTAGGCAGTCCAATTCAACATATGGTCCTTACCCGTCATCGGATGAACTGACCTCTAGGCGTCAGCCTCCTGTCTTAGGTTGGTACCACTGCAATTGGATCATACCCGTCACTGACTACCGGTCCAGCATACAGCCATACTTGTGGATAGGCCTTTGCACCAGTGGGGGGGTGAGGTTCTTTGCCTCACCTCTGTTGGCCCCCAAATTTTAGACCATCACTAGTAGAGGAGGATGCAAAATGTCATGACATTAAGCCAATTGAGGGCTCCTTTGAAAAATTGTACCACCGGTGACATCATCAGCAAAAATACCCCAACACTACCACAAGTCGCTGCACCAACAGATAGTTCAAAATGCATACAGGTGAGCTCACAATGTGTCCAGGCAAGTTCTGCAAGCAGTTCAGTGATGGCTATTGTAGAAGGTGTAGATTGGTTTTATCTTTGACTTCACCAGCACTGGGATGAAGATAGGAATTCTGGCAATAATGGCTAAAGAAAAA